GTGTGTCAGAGGCAGTGTGGTTGGCGCAGGATAGAGCAGGGTTTAGGGCTGTTGTGCATAGGGTCGCTATGAGTCGCAAACGACTCGACGGCACAAAACACAACAACAACAAACATTCATTTCAGTCATTACCTTTTCTTCAAAATTTTGGTATTTGATAAATTAAAAATAACTCTGGACAACAAAGATTTTAAATGAGTTAAGATACGTAAAAATGAGGTATTTTAGGTGAAACAGAGTATTTTGTACACTTAATATAACACATAATAGAAATTATTTGCTTGTTAATCTAAAAGATGTCAATTCTTAAATATGTGTGACTAACAGTAAAGGACATAGTCCCTTTTTTTTTGCTGACTAAGGATTTAGAGGTAAAATTTTACAAGCCATATTACTATGGAGTGTAAGTGTATAGACAATCTATTGTACAGAATCTACAACAAGAAAATATTGTCTGAATTTTGATAGTTCATATCACATCACACTAAACAAATATTCCTAACATTTACCTAAATGGAGAGGTCAAAAAAAGATGGCTAATTGATTTCAAGGATCAGAAAGCATATGGTATACTTATACCATTGCACACAAACGTGAGATCTTAAGTTTAGAGGTTTTTAAAAAATCAATTCTCCAAATTCCTTTCAAACTAGTCTACTAGGTCTCTGAAACATAAAACTCAACGTACTTGCCATGGTAAGTATGTATTTAAAAAAAACAATTAAGAAGAAAGGAAGAAATAAAAGACAAAATAGATTCTTAAATACCTACCATCTTCAGTCCTTGGTTGCTGAGGGAACATGTAGTTAGTAAGCACCATTTTCTGGGTCTCAGAATCAGTCTCTTTTTGAAGAGGTATCAGGGGTTTGGACTAGGGAAAGAAATAAATGTTTCATTTTCAGCAACCTAAATATCATTAATAGCACATGCAGGCAAAATACTGCTGAAGATTATGAAAAAACAGCTACAACAGTAGGTAGATAGGGAACTGCCACAAGTTCAAGCAGGATTTAAAAGAGGCTGCAGCACCATGGATTTCACTGCTGATGTTAGATGGATCCTAACTGAAAGTAAGGAATACCAGACGAATGTCTATTTATGCTTTACTGGCGATACAAAGGCATTTGACTGTGTGGATCATAACAAGGTGTGGCTGACATTGAGAAGGGAATCCTTGAGTACTTAATTGTGCTCACAAGGAACCTATACCTGGACCAGGAGGTTGTTGTCCCAACAGAACAAAGGAACACTGTTGTTTGTTTTTAAGTGCTGTCAAGTAGCAGGCGACTCATAGCGACCCTATGAAGAAGAGTCCTCGATGCTTGGGTGCCTTTCATTCTCTCTCCAGGTTCATAGGGTTTCCGGAGGCAAGCTATTATGGAAGTGGATGCCACTCCTCCTTCCAAAAAGGAACACTACATGGTTTAAAACTGAGAAGGGAGTGTGTCAGGATTATATTCTCTCTCCATACCTATTCAATCTGTATGTAGAGCAAATTATCCGAGAAGCTGGACTCTATGAAGAGGAGAAGACTCAACCATAACCTGCATTATGCAGATGATAAAACCTTGCTTCGTAAAAGTGAGGAGGACTTGAAGCACTTGCTGCAGAAGATCAAGGAATACCACCTTCAGTATGGACTGCATCTCAATGTCAAGAAGACAAAGATTCTTATCACTGAACCAACAGGCAGCGTCATGATGGATGCAGAGGAGACTGAAATTGGATCCACAATTAACACCCTTGGTATCAGCAGTAGAGAAATAAGGAGATGTATTGCACTGGGGAAATCTACAGTGAGGGATCTCTCCAAATTATTGAGGAGTAATGATAACAGTTTGAGGACAAAGGTGCATCTGATTCAGGCCATGATTGTTCCAATTACTTGCTATGCATCTGAGAACTGGATGACAAAAAAAAAAAATAACTGATGCCTTTGAGCTGCGGTGTTGGAGAAGAGCACTAAACATCCCATGGATGGCCAAGAGTACAAACAGGTATGTCTGGAAGAGGGTGCTGTTAGAGCACTCTTTTGAGGGAAGAACTACGAGGCTTTGCCTCACATATTTTGGACACGTTGCTAGGAGGGGCTATTCCTTGGAGAAGCGCATGATGCTGAGAAGGGTAGAGGGTCGGTGAAGGAGAGGAAGACCCTCAACCAGGTGAGATTGATTGGCACGATGACTACTGAAATGGTTTCTTGTGTGTCACAAGTATGAGGGTGGCACAGGATAAAACAGGGTTCAGATCTTTTATTCATAAGGTCAGTATGAGTTGTACTCAACTCCATGGCACCTACCAACAACTGTTGTTGTTGTTATGTGCGGTCGAGTCGCCTG